TTTTTTAAAAGAATATTTAAAATTATAACTTTTCAAGAGCTAAAAAATGCAATATTTTGGCAAAATTGCGGATAAAAGACCTTCCCCCATATCTCTAAAACTCATGTTCCAAAATAAGAAAGCCAGTGGCTCACAATATCTTTCATGTTGATGGTTTACCACACCAAAAATTATTAAAATCTGCTGACCCCCACCTTGCCGCCTTCTGACTGATCTGTTTGGCTTTCTCATGGACGCGCTCTTAATTCATAACTTCAAGATATTACGAAATGCAATTTGTATGACAACAAAACAAATATTTTTCCAGTAAAATCATACAGTTCATGTTTATATACAAGAGGTTTACCACATCTACACATTTTGCATGACAAAACACAATAATATTTAAACAACAATGAAATGCTCTCTTTGTAGAAAACTAAAAAGCTTGTACTTACATCTAGCAGCAGTTTCACAACTTCTATCTTCCCGTACAATGCAGCCTCATGTAGACAAGTCCCTTGTAGGGTCTGTCTGTTAATATCCACCCCAGCTTGAAGGAGGAGTCTGGAAAATACCAACACAATAGTAGACAAGTTACCATCTCTCCTGTTACACAAGTTGCATTCAGCAGCTCTGTTGTCAAACTACAGATATGCAGCTTTGTATACAACATACCAAGGTGCGTAACACTTCCCCCTGGTTCTTTCACTGAACGTTATGAAGTGTGCTGAAAATGAAAACAAAATTCCCTCCACTTCACGTAAGAACACATTTCTGATGGTCCACCTGATCACATGGAGTGGCCGACAATGTGGTATTGTCACTACAGGTGTCTTGTTTAGTGTGGAAACAACACAGTTGTTCAGGAACAATCATCTCTGAGATGACACAGAATTTTATTACGCAACTAAAGCACACCTCCAATAAACATCTTCATTCTCTGTATACAATAAGCAATCAGGGGAAGACAGAATGGGATACACTGACAATATTCCAACTTCTCTGATAAATGCACAGTGGGTAACCTGGGTCTCTTGTGATGAGTGGAGTGAAATGATAAGGAATATAGTATTATAACAGGTACAAAACACGAAAGCTTTTTACACAATTACTCCCAACAGTATTGGACACATAACTGCTATCAACTTCCCACACATGGGCCTAATGCTTTCATAGCCCACTGCTTCTACCAAAATTACAGCTGTACCTGGTAGGCCAGCTTTCAAATTCACAAACACTTGTTTTTATCTCGGTTCCTGGAATATAAATTCCTCCTTAACGTCCAGGTGGTCAGGCAGAGTGGTTTCTATGGCACGGACGGGGTACTTACCCCAGATGCGAGTCCAGAAGAAGCTCAGGTGAAGGCACCCATATCTGTACACCACAGGCAGCTTAACACGGGACAGGCCAACTTAACTGCCGTAATATATCAGTTATTTTTAACTTTCTCTCTATAAAACTCACCTTTCAACCTTTTACCTGTGAATGAGGAGGAGGCCCTCTGTGCTGCTATGATAAAAAAGGTTTGAGGCTAGAACAGTGCACATCTTTTGTACCCAGAGCATGACTTCTCATTGGCAAAGATGAAGCCATTCACAGACCAAAGAGTGATGGCATATATTCTTGTTACCTAAGGGGGTACAATATTCATGTTCACCTTTAACAGAGAAGAAGTTATAACTGGTTTACTGCAATGTGGACTTTAAAGGAAAGTTATCCATATTTGCCTGTTTTTGAATACTGCATATATGTCACACAAGGAATACAAAATGTTGTTTTACTATGTAAGTACACTATAAGCTGCTTAACAGCTTTTAAATTTTGCATGGATTTGACAATCCTTTAAGTTTGACAACTTATCAAGTCGCCTTCTCACATTCTTTATATCTTCAAATGAGAGCCAACATAGTGTATGGACGCAGAAAAAACAAACCAAATCTTGGAATCAGAGGAATCAATTAACTCAGACTGGAATGTACCCTCCTGACAGATGTTCCTTTGAAAGGCAACGCCGAATAACTAACACAAATCTATGATTTCACACTGTAAGCAGTTTCTAGATTCCATGATACCTGTTTACATAAGGACAGATAAATGGACAACAAACCATACCAATAGACAGACAGACAGATAGACAGACTTCCAGTCTGCTTGACTAAAGAACAAGAAAACCAAATTTGTACTTCAGATCACTTGTAAAAATAGACAGTATATTTGCTTCAATTGATCCCAAACAGAAGCCGACTTTTTTTATGAGGAATACCTGCAGCCCTCCTCCAATAGACAAATATCCCTGGTTTCTATCACCTGTGAAAATAAACTAGTCAATAGCAGAAATACCTGTGGCTCCACCTTTTGTCCACTCCAGTCCAGTCCAGTCCAACAAGTCAGTGTCTGGTAACCTCATTTACATACGAAAAGGTCCACACAGATCAAAATCACAGCCACCTACCTTCAGTTTTTTAGATCTTCAATTGTTTGTTCCTTTTCACATGACTGGGTGTATAGTTCACGGAGCCATTAATCATTCTCCAGTTAACAGTTTCTTTGACCTCCACACCAATGAAATTTATGACTTCCCATGCGACACAATGGTTACTTTGGTGCTAACACGGGCACCTTCTGCTTACCTAATGATGTCCCCGTGCCCGTTTTTAGCGGCCAGATGGAGTCCTGTAGTCCGCGTATTGTCCAGCATGTCTTCAGGAGTCTCCATCAGCAGGCAATTACACAGGTTACTGTCTATCAGAAGCTCTGCTACCTGGAACACACAAATATCACAACAGTTATTAAAGATAGTATTTGTACCCTTCATGTGAATACATAAACAATATATTTTTTATCCTTAAGGAGACCTTATTTTAAAAAACTGTAATATGCAGCAGTAAAGTCTGCCAAGAACAATACTTCGCCTGTCTCAGCAGTAAGTGACTTGCTTCAGAGACAAAACAGCATGCAGGAAGAAAATTACATATTGTTTCCTCTTATGTTGCTAACACTAACCATGCAAATGTCATATGCCATTATATGTCCTCAAAACCATAGCCAATGCACTCAAACTTCCTACATAAAATATAAAAAAGCCTCTGATCCTAATCCCCCAGCAGAAGTACTTCATAAAGCATGTAATAAATCAAACCTTTATAAAAAAAAGAAGGATATGGAATCGTCCACATTCCGCACTGTTTAATTTCCCATTCATTTTTTTCATTTATTCCTTTTTTTCCTTGAAAAGTTTATCAAAGATTAAATTAAGTGTGTAACAATTCATCGGTCAAAAAAGTTCCTGAACTGCGAATTACTGGGCATACTTCAGCCCAAAACAATTCACTGTACATATGTTACTTGATTCTCAATTTTTCTCTCATCAAAAATTAGAGAAAAACACACAAACACAACAAGGGAGAGCCAGAGAGTTCCTGTGGTAACTGCCCAGTGCATTAGATAGGATACAGCTCCTTTATTTCCAGCTCATTGCAGTAGGTGAGCTCAGGGCTTGCTGAACACAATCACCCTCTACATGTCCCCTGGTGGTGTTCTCATGAACTTCATGTGTGACCATTCTCATGAGCTCAATTCACACACAGATATAATAAGATATCATGCATGCTTTCCTTCCTGTGAGAAGGCTTTTATCTGACTGATATATACATCAGTAAATCCATTCTATCAAAGGTCATTCTGATATCCAACATGTGTTCATATTCATTAATATATCCTTCAGATGGCAACCCTGTGTCTGTTCCTGCCAGGGGTAAAGTGCCACATTTGGCTGTGAACAGTTCAATACTGTCTTATTATAAGAAATGTGGGCTCCCAATAAATGATCTTGAAAGTGCAGAACTAAAAATTAACACCAATAATGAGGATAATGGCAAGTTTCACAACAAATCATTTTTGATCTATCCACATAATTTTTCACGCAAATAGCAATTATATGGAAATAATGGTCTAGCATACCATTTCCCCATGACGTTAATCTAATGTTGAACCTGTGTCCTGACATTACAGCAGAAAAAATATTAATCATGTACTAAATGTCTAAAATAACCTTGGATTTCTGTTTTTTACTGGGGTGAAGTTGTTAACATTTCGAGATTGTCTGTTGGCTGTCAAATAAAAAGTAATACATTAACAAGTACATCTTTCTCACTTCAAAATCCAATTATAGCTTATGGACCAAAATACCACCAATATAACTACCATGGTACCACCAACACAAAATGTTATCTTTTTTTTTTCAGCTCTTTAAAATCCACTTTTACTGTCACCCTTGATTAAATGGAGAAATTCATTAAAAATGGTTTTTAATCAACTCAGCTGCTGCAGACCTATAACCCTTCATTGAGAAGCCTTGGAAACATCACTCCACACCCAATAATTAGACAACAACTGTGACAGTCAAGTATGTGGGATAACATCTTTGCACAGAATTTATTCTACAAAAGGATATTCCACTTAAAACCAAGACTGCACTATTTTGACCCCTGAAGGTATGTTTTATTTAAACTGAATTGTGGCAAATAACAGAAATCTTCTCAGTCCATAAGAGATTCCACATTTGTCAGACAGTTTCTTTCTCCTCCTCCTCTATATCCAAGTGTTTTTCTCTCTTTTCTTCCTTTTTACAGCCGATTTCTTTCCTGGGGCGCGGGAAGCTACTCTTGCGTCTCACTGATTACACCACGCTGTGTAAGTGATTACATATTTAGCAATGTTATATCTAGGAGTCAGTTCAGCGTGAAACACAACTTGACATAACACACGGTATCTGCAGGAGGCTTAGCTATGAAATTACCAGATTTCAAACTGCAATGTCAGCCTTTTAGTGGATTTTAAAAAATTCTCATTGTAAGTTTCACTGTCACTTGACTTAAAACCAGATCAATTTGACTGTGAAGTCACAATGAGTGGTTCACAATTAGCATCCCCCATCAGTATGTTGACAGAAAAGTCACAGTTGCCTTGCTTCTGTTACCTTTGTATAGTGCAACATTTATTATATTGATAAATACATATCTATCTTGTAACAGTAATTTCACATTCCATCAACTTGCATAATCAAAAACAGCTGTGATTTAAACTGCCTGTCTCTTGTCATATATAATGCACACGTGCACTAACAGAATAATTTTCAGTATTTTAAATCATAAAAGCATGCTATGAAGCTGATATTACAGTTCATTCTGAATCTATACAGAAGACATACTCTCCCTTTTTTGGCTATTATAATAAAAGTGATAAACCAGGCATCAAACGGACAACCCAGATTAAAGGACTGCAAAGTGCAAGTAAAAATCTTAAGACTTTCCCTCCACGTTGTCTGAGAAAATTACTTTGAGAGTGGTTCACAGTGACCTCACTTTTTTTTATCAGCTCTACTTCTGGCAGATGTTTTCAGTATGTTATTTTGACCGAGATCAAAGTCAGCCTCTGTGAGGTGTTGGTGAACAGACCAACTACGGCCACCTTATCGGGTGTGCCTCGCACCCTCTCCCGTATATCTATTACCAGCAAAAGCACAGATAAATACTTCACTAATCACTGTGCAAATGTCAGGCAGTTTTTATTTCACCCTGGTTCATTCAGATCTATGGCTACAGGGTCCTTGAAGGTTATAATGGCAAGTTAAAAATGCTATTTTTGATTTTTTTTTTTTTTTTTTTGGCTTTGTTACACTTCACTTAGCTTTCTTGAAATTCTGTAAATCATGAGTTTTGAAAAACGTATTCCACAACAGATTCGTGAACTTCCAAAGTGGGCTTATGTTCTGATATGCTGTTCAGTAAGGTTGGATATTATCCAATTAGTATTATTATTTTTCACAGATGGCTCAGGAGTCTCCCACCTTCCCATACCCCTGTTAGCTTTGAAATGATATAACCATCAGATTACCACCATTACCTGAACAATTACAAATAGAAGGTAAATCCTATCCATCTCTATAATTTGGTAATTTAACTAACTGGTATTCACCTCTGTGTTTTTGTAAGATATCATTCACCTCTGTGTTTTTGTAAGATCTCACAAACCAAACAGCATCAAAATTCCTGCAGCTCCCCCTGGAGGTGAAGTTATGCAAGTTACATTTCTTACCATTGTATTGTGTGTACTCTTCACAACCTCAGATCACAGTTGTATGTTACTCAGCAAGAAGTGATACGGCCAAATGAAAAGGCAACCTGTGTCTTATTGATGAGGAGAAGAGATGTTGATGACTTGATGATTTTGCTAATCTAAACATGTTCTGCTTGGGCTAGGTTAGTGTAAGCGTGCTGACAAGCTACTAGGAAAAGGCAGTCTTGCCATGCCATGTCTGTCATGAAGTATGTCACTATGATATACAAGATGTGCTCTCTCTCTCTCCAATATCTGTGCACAACATGACACACTGACATGACATATTGTGTCAACACTAAGTGCCAATGTAGTGTGGTGGGGAAACGGGAGACAGAAGGACCTCTGGTTTTAAGTACATTGTACATGACAGGACCACACACCCAATCTACTAACTTGTTCCCCCACAAAACTCAACTTGCTCCAGGAAAATTATTTTGAACTACAAATAAGGTTGATGCTGAAGGAAATACATCAGCCAAACTGTAGACAGCATTTCTTATAAATATAAAGTGCCAAGTGACCACTGTATCATACTGTAACTTCTCCTTCTACTTTCACTCCATTGACTTTCTATTTCAACCCAAGCACAATCAATATCCTAGCAATCAGGAAATGCATCTCTCTTGTAAGGTTCATTAATGTAAATCAGGTGCATAGGCACACCTCCAGGCAACAGTGCTTGCCACAATGCATTTTACCCAACTTGTACATTTTTTTCTTCCTACAACACCATTATTACTAATCAGACAGGCAATTTTTAGAACTCGTTAGATTCATCAATATAATGTGTATGGAATAAAGAGAAACCTTACCCGATATCTGCCAAACTCACAAGCCAGGTCCAGGGGGGTCTTGTGCTCCTTGTTCCTCAGTGTGGGATCAGCATGGTGCTGCAACAGGAGATTCACCTGCAGAGGAAGACGGAATAAAACTTATAATTAAATTGATGTTTACATGGATATATTTTTACTATGACAATCCCTATTTTGGCTTATTTGTATTACAAAAATTTGGGTGTCTTTGACAGGGTCCATGATAAGTCAACCATACAAAATTATGCTATTTTCAAAAGAGGTATCCAATGGCACTGAAGGTTAAGAAAGGAGATATTAGATCAAGAGCACTAAATTCAACCTGGAGTAACAAATGACAGCCTTGAGTTGGTGGTAGGAATTTGAAATGTTCTCAAACAAAGCCAAAACAATTAGGAATGGAATCAAATGACAGCACAGCAAGGACAGTAAGAATATTCTGATTCATATTCAGAGTCTGCTGTGTGAGGTTGGGTTACCAGGACTAATGGCCCCTAACAAGCTCACTGTTGTCTCCACTGTCTGTGTTGTATTCATTGTTGTCAATAGAGAGAGAGCACCCCGAGTTGGAAAGATGTGTCACAGTCCTTGTTAATACAGTGTGAAGGTGAAGATAAAGGATGGAGGCAGACAGCCTGACTGACTGGTTACATTGAAAGTTGTGTTTCCACTCGACTCAACCAAACACAGAACGACCCATCTCACAGTGCCATACAATTCTAATTTCCTCGCCATAAGCAGACAACTCTTATGACAAGGATATTAGATTTGCTCCCAATGGTGACCTTATTTTAATTGAAAGCCATCTTCGGAGATCAGTCATGCTATACAGACTTAGGGCGGCTTAACTTGATTCGTGATTAGAAAAATACATTTAGACAGAGTAGAAAACTAGATATAAATATACTGGAAACAGTGCAACCAACAAGATTGTAATATTGCACAAGATGGCAATTAAGATGTGATTCGCCACTATTGCATAAAATTCTCCGATGATGTCATCTGGACTATTCCCTGCACTGGTTACTTTAGTGCAGCGCCTCTAGTAAAACTACCGAATATAAAAATATTAAATGCCCCCCTCCCCATGAAAAGACAAGATTTACTTCCACTATGATGCCTAAGCTAAGAGATAAATCACCTTATTTATGATGACACTAGACAGTATCCAATACAACCAACCAGGCTAATGTACCTGAGTGCAAATGACTTGTTGACATCATGGATGCCTGTTATATATATTATATATATGTTATTATATATATATCTGTGACTAAGACCCCATAAGATACCATTGGTCTACATAGATTGATCAAACTTTGCAGGTAATCTTGTCTAGTGCGATCAATTTACCTGAATGAAACACCTCTTGTTTTCAGCATACTCACATAGTCACCAACTTTTCTGAATTTTACTCAAGCCAGGAGGAGGCGTGTCATTCAATTCAGCCGATTGCACTCAGCAAGAGTCCCTACATAGTTGGGCTGATCTACGTAGACCGATAATTTCAATGGGAATGGGACCTTAGAACAGGACAGAACTGAAAGATTCCAGAGTGATGCCCCAGGACAGAACTAGGTACCAGTCAAGCATGACATCATTATTACATGCTAGCTTCCATTTAGGCAATTACTTAAAGTGAGCCGTGACAGCTCTCTACCCAGTAACCTTATGATCAATCAGGGAAATAGAGCCTCGGTAGACCACACTGGTGTCTACATACTGAGAAAGCAAGTCAATGACTTTCTGTGAACAGCAGTGGAGTGAAAATCTGAATGAAGCTTTACTAGTGAAGGTTGTGCCTTGAAATGAGATCTCTTAAGTGTTTTCTGAGTGAAAAGAAATAGAGTGTAATGCTCCATAACTTGATCTCCATCTTGTGCAGATGGCACCCCAGCTAGTGTGCCGTGAATACAAAAGGGTCTACAGGGGACGAGTGAGTCATATGGGACACGTCAGCCCTGTCTGGGAAGGGGGGGGGGGGGGAGAGGACAGCAGACATGATGACAGTTGTTCCCACATTTTAACATCTCATCTTAAAGCAAGCTGTAGATGGCTTGGAATGAAGTCCTTCACAGAAAAATAACCACAAAACTGCAATGATACAATAAAAGACAGAGCTTGACAAGACAAACTTCAAAGAAAGAAAAAAAAAACCCTCAAATTTAAACTGGTTTATCCACCATGTGTCTGACATGTGTTGAACTTGAGTTTGGGGGCACGTGCAATTTTATCCTACAATGAACCAAGGCAGTGAGAAAGAAAACAACATTAAGAGACCTGCCATGGGTAAAACAAACTTTTTATGTTCAACTTGTGTTTTATTTGTTTCAACCAAAAAGCCACAATGAGCACACAGAATCAACACATTCTTGAGAAATGTGGTTTGGACATATGTATGAAATGGTCTCATGTATAAACAAGACAATACACACGCACTTCAGCAGCAGTAGTTGGAGCAGCGAAGTAAAACTGCCAAGAAAAAAATACCCAGTGCTGCTGTTAGACATTACAATAAGACACATTCAAGGAGACTAATGTTCAAGCAATCCTGTTTTATCTTACTTTTTTTTGAAGTGAACTTGCCTCAGTCTGAGACCCCATCCCCATACCTAGATGGATCTAGCAAGATCGACCTATCTCTGAGGGGATTTTCACTAAATTGCAATCAGCTTAAGCAGCTTAGATATCTTGCATGCCTACTGAAGCTGCTAAACAATAGTAAATTATCTCCTACCAGCTTCATTAGGCATGCCAAACATTAAGGCTGCTATAGCATAATGCAATTAAGCATAAAACCCCACGGAGATGGGTTGATCCTGCTAGATCAATCTAGGTATTGGAGCAGGGTCTAACTGACTTAGGAGGGGGTGTCTACATGGTTCAGCCTAATTTAGGACATTCAAGTGTACTCAAACAGCCATTGCATTAAAAGCACAACTTCATTCATCCTGATGCAACTGTAAGATTAAAGGAAAGCTGATTGCAGATACTTCAGGAAGGGTGCCATGGCAGCTGTTATTAAAATCATTCATATTTTGCTTTTAATCTACAAAAAAAATGTCACTGGAATTTAGATATACAATTCATGATCTCTTTTGCTACTTAGTTGGTAAATTTTCCAGGGCCAGCTCTAAAAACTTCTGATGCTGGTCATGGTTATTTTCAAAGATGCGTATCAATAAGGAGTACAGAACATGTGGTACCGTGTAGACCAGTGTGAGTGAACAAACTACACTTGTTTATATATATAACAGCAGTTGGACCCAGGTCTGTTTATTATCACCAAAACCAATATTTTATCACTAATGGCACTAAGTTCCATAAGAAAACTACAAAAACCAAATACAAACACCTGAATTCACTATCAGCTTGCATGTCCATGGTTTTTTGGCAATTTGCAGGCTACATATCTAACAGGGGCGGATTAAGGCCGTCTTCTGGGTCTTCCGGAAGACGGTCAGATTTTCAAGTTTACATTGACAGGTATCTATTTTTTCTGTCAGAAGATGGTCAAAAATGGAGGATGGATCAACAAAGATAATTTGGAAGACTCTCAGAAAATATCTCTGGATCCGCCCCTGTCTAAGGTACCCTTGTAACTGATTTGAAAATGTGCCTCATCATGGTGTGAAAATATTTATAAAATTTTATCACTAAGCAAAGGAAACAATTTGCTGAGACTCTAAAAACACATGCTGCATCCAGGAATAAAAGATTAAGATTAGTAAAACAATCCCTTTCTTTTATCACAGCATCAATTTATCCATAAGGCACCCACATGGCGGAGACAGAATAAGTCATTTCCAATGCCAGGGTTTCTTTTAATTCAATGAGAACCAGACTGTTTAACATAACAAAACAGAGCTATAAATAAAAGCCTTCCCCATCAAAAGAATGACCTCGTGACCAGAGTTTTTAGTCAAACAAAAATTTGAGTGCTCTGACAACTTGGAAGCACCCGCCCTGACACTGCGTGTAGACATTCAGAAAGAGAGAGATGGTACGCCGTCACAACAGACAGAGGTCACATCCTTACCCTCCACACGGGGGCAGCTGCACNACTACAAAAACCAAATACAAACACCTGAATTCACTATCAGCTTGCATGTCCATGGTTTTTTGGCAATTTGCAGGCTACATATCTAACAGGGGCGGATTAAGGCCGTCTTCTGGGTCTTCCGGAAGACGGTCAGATTTTCAAGTTTACATTGACAGGTATCTATTTTTTCTGTCAGAAGATGGTCAAAAATGGAGGATGGATCAACAAAGATAATTTGGAAGACTCTCAGAAAATATCTCTGGATCCGCCCCTGTCTAAGGTACCCTTGTAACTGATTTGAAAATGTGCCTCATCATGGTGTGAAAATATTTATAAAATTTTATCACTAAGCAAAGGAAACAATTTGCTGAGACTCTAAAAACACATGCTGCATCCAGGAATAAAAGATTAAGATTAGTAAAACAATCCCTTTCTTTTATCACAGCATCAATTTATCCATAAGGCACCCACATGGCGGAGACAGAATAAGTCATTTCCAATGCCAGGGTTTCTTTTAATTCAATGAGAACCAGACTGTTTAACATAACAAAACAGAGCTATAAATAAAAGCCTTCCCCATCAAAAGAATGACCTCGTGACCAGAGTTTTTAGTCAAACAAAAATTTGAGTGCTCTGACAACTTGGAAGCACCCGCCCTGACACTGCGTGTAGACATTCAGAAAGAGAGAGATGGTACGCCGTCACAACAGACAGAGGTCACATCCTTACCCTCCACACGGGGGCAGCTGCACTGGCCCCCAGTGTCACACTCACAGTCTGTGTACATCAAATACAAAATCTGTCAGCTAGAAATTTTTGTAATATGTGGTAAGCGCTGTTGCATGCAAGCAGTTGATCCATTACTGGAGGACTTGGACTGACAATGGTCTGCCAAGGCACAGGTGGGATCTGACTGGAATTTAAGAGGGTAGGGAACACCTTTTGCGTTCCGCGTGATTGGCCTAATTTTTCGAGCGTGATGCGTTATTTGAGGCTAATATTCTGCGTGAAACCTGATTCAGGAATTCTTGGCGATTGGTGATTACGCCATTTTAATCTTGGTGATTAAGGCAGGGCGGAATTCCCTACCCTGATTTAGCTGAATGGAACTCACCGGCATGAAAAACCAGATTCTACAGAAAATCTGAATAGATGTAACAGAATACATTAGAGGGATTGATATCCATGTTCATTAACATGATTTTCATAGAAAAAAAATGAGAAAAGAATGAAAAGTGAACTGTTTACATGAAAAATGCAACCTCATTTTGTTGCAGGGGAGTGCCACCACCACTCACCACTATTCTCTTCTAGAATAATGTGAATGCTTCCGTTCCTACTGTAGTTATGATGATGCATTTTTCATGTGCACATTTCATTTTTCATAATTTCAAAAAATCTATAAATGAGCCCACATATCACCCTCTTTTTCATTTTCCAATTACCTAAATGAGCCCAAACTTTTTCATTTATTCTATTACGTATAGAAATCTGAGATCTATGCCCTTATCTAAAAAACCTTACAAAGCCAACAACCCAGACAAAATAGTTGAAAAGCATGTCATTTACAAGACTTGGGCATAAATCCCTGTCACCCTAAATGTGAATCTGTTTTCAAAAGATGTATGCATGTTTACAACAGATACAAGAAGTGCCAACCTGGTGCTTTCTATTATGTAATATGACTTAAAAGTTTTTTTTTATGTCCGTATGTTATGGTTTTTTTTACTCACCACTTCATAATGACCATGCTGGCAAGCTAAATGCAGTGGGGATTCCCCATTCTCTGCAGCATCATTGGTATTTGCCCCATACTGGAGCAGAATCTGTACTGGCTCTACCTTGCCTTGCCAGGAGGCATAGTGGAGAGGACGCATGCCTGCAAATAGACAACATCTGCACTGAATCTTTGGCCTAGCAAAAACTGAACCATTTTTCAGCAAAAAAAGTTACTTCTGTGAAAGAAATATTTGCTGTGACATTGATACCAAAAGGTGGTAAATCATCAAAAAAAAAATTGTCAATACCAAAAAAATTATTTTCTACAGATAGTAATTTTTTTAAGTCTCTGAAAATCAGACAAGCACTTGGACTATATTCATGTTACCAATATGCAGACCTTTATTGCCTTCAAAACAATTATATCTAGAAATAATGAAAACTCATGACAAAAAAATTAATACATCATTGACATTTACAGTGGGAAAATTAGGAAAATTTTAACAGAAACAATTTCCAGACCATATATCGTTTGTCTTTTACTGTACCTTTGTTATCCTTGATGTCCACAGCAGCTCCTCCGTCCAGTAGCAGCCTCATGATCTCATTGCTGCCCACCAGAGCTGCTTGGTGCAAGGCGGCCATACTGGAATACATATACAACAGAGTGGTCAACAGGAGGAAGGAAAAGGTATACAATCCACAAAATGCTTTAAGCAAATCAAAAAGGACTACGATTAGATGTGTCAATGATATGATTAACTGTGTAAAATCTTGTCATTCAAAAGTTAAAGATGACACATTTATCCAAAGTACTGTTTTTATCACTTAAGTTGCTAATTTTCTTCAATGAAAACACCCTGTTACAATGTCAATCTGCTCAATGTACATGTATGTAAATTACAAATATAGTCATCAAGTTCTTGTAATCATGGATATTTTCCTTCCATTTTCTTTGCATAATTGTCCAGACTTGTGTTTGCACAGAGTAAGAAAATATAACCACGTTTACTTTGCATTCCCCTCAACCAGGTCTTAATGAAGTGGCGAAAAGTTGTTTAAACGTTTTGTTGAACTTGATAAATAGGCCTGATTAAACTGATAAAGGGAACACTACAGATACTTAGGGGTCAAATTGATCACATTTATTTCTGCAGACGTTATCAAAATAGGCAGAATTGATCACATTCAGCACAACTTCTTCCCTAAAACCCTGTGTGGTCCGCAGTGCTCAGTTTATGTCACAACACAAGATATTCCCATTTGTTCCTTTAACAGGATAACATAAGGGTGGGCTCCATCATAAAATGGAAATAACCAATTTATTTTTCAAAACAGGAGCTGCTGTCCATTACCCTCACTTGCTGAGAGCTCTCTGCTTGTATCAGTCAAGTCTGAAAGTTATTGCACTTTGATAGCAAATGTATGCCATTATAACTAATCTGTCATTGCAGCCAATAAGACGTCACTGCAGAGTGGCAGATAATTTGGCCCATTGTATATCAGCCAGTCACTTTCTAGACTGGCAGAGCCTGGAGAAGGATGGCTTGTGATGAAGTCTTAATTGAAATCAAATTTGAAGGTTCTTCAAAGATGAATGGCAAGGGGCAAGGCTTGATAGCAATATCATGTAAGATGCATTGGGGAGATATTGATTTATAATGACAGCCTTTTACACTAACAAACTGCTGTAAATAAGGGCCAGTCTTTCTTTACACACGTGATTAGTGCTATAGAATGTCTGGCATTATTTTCTTCACCACTGCTTTCTTTAATGGAGGTGCTGTTCTTGGTATATTTGATCTCATTTTCAACACCTATTTTTGAAAGTTTCATGTCATAACCATAACAAACACCACATGTTCATTAGCAACAAAATATTGAAAATATAGTATCCTACTGTTTTATATTCAACAGCGATTCTATTCATTTGGCATATCAAAGGTTTGAACTGATTTCTGGTGAAATTTCCAATAAACCACAAAATGCTTGTCAGTCAATACTTAGGTAGTGAGGCTAAGTGTTTACTTTCTTTTGTCTCTTGACAGTTAAATTCAATTAAATATAGTTTTCCTCAGTACTAATACTGCTTTATTATTACTATTTGTACAATGTAAAACTATTCTTCTGTGGCTACAGTCCATAAGACACAATCTATGAATTTTTTTTAGATAATTAAATAAGTACTGTTCTTGATGTCAGCAACTAAAAAGTGTTATTTTTTCTCAGTAGTAGTAAAGCATTTCACATCTTCGAACATCTTTATCCATCTACTGAGACTAAGCAACCAGGACCAATATCCCCAGGGCCACATCTCAATACCCCAAGGTCTATCACCTATTCCCCTGGGGATAATATTCCAGCATAGATATGTTTGCAGTATCAGACTGCTCAAAACTCTGTTTTCAGAAAACATTCGACTAATGGTCCATTTGATGATGAAATGTCCGAACCAAATCTCCCGTGGCTCGTTTATCAACTCTGCACATTATTTAGGGGCAAGCAAGAGTCATGCACCTATTTCTGACTTTAAAGGTAAATGTTTTGATAAAGATTATTTAGTAGGTATTAAAAAAGTGTTTGTTTGAGTACAGTTGCTGGGAGGGTCTACAAATAACAAGGCAACTGTGGAAGATGCACGAAAAATGAAAATTACTCTAAAGCTGGGCAGGCCTCAAAATTGTGGAGATAAAGACATTTTTGAAGTCACTTAATAGTGAATAATGAACGGTTTTAATAATAAAGTTCACAAGAAATTTAGTCTGGAATGCTGGATATTACAACAGCACAGGGAAAATTTTGACTTCTTCCCATACAACCCATTCATTGTTCAGTTGGAGAAGTTGGAAGGGTCACAGTAAAATAAATTGAAGGAGCGTAACCCCGCCTTTTATGTAAATTTGACAAAGTTGTTCAACACATTCCGCAGTTGAAAATATGTTCAGTGCTGTGTATGCACACTTCAATTTGAACAAAGCCAATGAAAAACAGTCTCACATTACCACATAAAGGTGAAACATCATCTCAGAGTTTGTAGTAAGAAACAATAATTTCCCATAGGAGGAAATGAAGATATTTTCAATCAAAAAATTAAACAAGGCATCTACGTCATAAAAAGGCTTGGCGACACCACAAGTTACCTAACTGTGGGATATGAAAAAAGAAAACGCCATCGGAAGTATAAAAATGAATATGATAGCCGATGGTGTACTTTTTGCAAGTCACTCTATAGTTTACCGCCTGTCATTCATAAAATAGAGCTTCACATTTGTGGAAGAAATAGAAAAGAGCGGGGTACGTGTGTGTTCTGATCACTTCATCCATGTATGAAACCAGATCCAATCTTCATAAATATAACACATATCACGTATATGCAAACAGAACATTTTACGACATAAAAACTCGGTGCAAGTTTTCAATTTATTGCCCATTTATTTTATAGGCTGGCCAATACAGGCTAAACATAGGCAATCTTGGGGCTTTTCAGCCAGATAGTGGCACTGATGAAAAGGTCAATACAGTCAAAAGATCTCAGACAGATTAAAAGTGGGATTAGGTTTCTTTTGCCTGTTTTTTCTATCTGGTACACTTTTTGGTCAGACCAAGCCAGCCACATCAATGAGCTTGCCTGCGGTTGTGTGCCAACTAAAGATTGGGGTTTTCTATACAAAAAACTTTTCCACCATTCATAATTGTCTAGCCTAGTTTTATGTTCATGTTTGCTGCCCATTGCAAGGCCATTTTTTTATCATTTTGAATGGGGGTAAAAAAAATAGCTGAGATATAAATTTCCCAAAGGAAGGAAATGGTGGAAAAGTGATGATTATTGATAATAGACCAATTATATAAGACACAGGGTCAATATTTCATAACCAACTTATCCCCTGCCTCCTGGCAGCTGGCTAATTGCGCGACAGACCAACATCAAATTTTATTGAACAAATGTAGTCTTATCAGTTTTCATGCTGCAATCAAACTGAATAAAGGGAAATGGTATTAGGAGTTGCTATGATTTCTGCTTTATGGCTGCAGACAGTGAAAAAGAGAGTAATAAGGGGTCAAAACTGATTCAGCTAACAGGGACAGGGGAGAGAAGAATAAAAACTGGCAACACAGAACAAGTTTTAATGTCAAAAGGTTTGACCTTTACAGCTAATGACCAAGAAAATTGCATAAGAGCAAGTTGAATTTTCTATAATAGACTAGAGATGCACTTTATCAGGAAAATATATCTTTAAGAGATTAGAGACGTCACAATAAGTTAGTCTACACATCCATGATATAGCATGGCCACCAGGTGCTTCTTACACTGGCCAGTCTCACTGGGTGCAGTGAGGCAGTGGCAAGGCCTGTCCAACTGTGTTATTTCAAGGTATTTGCCTAGGTTATGCTGTAAGAGGTGTACTGCAACAGACTTCTACTTCCTTGACCTCCAGTTCACTTCCCCCCCAAAACTCCTTACACCTGCATATTTACTCTCAACACCAGATTACAGTGCGACCTGCCATTGGTCACAATACAGAACAGCAGCTCTTGGCACACAGGAGCAAGTAATCAGGCTGAAGGTTCTCAAGCTTTTTTCTCCTTCCATTTGCCTTAGATCACTTAATTGAGCAGAGAAAAAGAAAAGCAGGGTCTAGGGGCTTTGAGACATCAATGCGGGTTAAGTGCTCTCTTGTCCGAGGGTGGTAAAATCTCAGATTTACATTTCATAATTTGTTCAAAATCCCTTTGCGGGGTGGGCCGGCTTAATCCTTCTGCCAGACTTGGACATCAGCTCTCCCCACCTGCAGGACCGGTGTCACTTCTGGTTTTCTCCTTCTTCCCATGGCATTCCAGGCATACTTATAGGGGGGCACCTGAACAATATCCCTTACAGGTATTTGGTCGCAGTCAGTATTGTCCAGTGTTATTTGGATTTTCTGCCATTTATACATGCCTATTTACGTTTGGGATGGGTTGTCTTGGATAAACTGTTTGGCATCTTCTATAGTTTCTGTACACTAGGACTCTCAAGAGCTGCCCCTTCCCAATCTTAGCATACATAGCTTCATAGGATTACGCACTATGCTGGACAGGAATTATATTTCACTTACGGATATACAATTTCTGTTTCTGTTACATAAGGAGAATTTCTATCCAACAATGAATTCAGTTATTTGCAAGGTGTAGCTGGTTAAAATATATCCGGTGCCATCTAGTTGTTGTATTACAGCATTTACCTCCATTCTGTCAATATGTCAACTACGTGACTGTCATCATGTCAACTTGGCTTTAACAATCTACTTTACTCTTTACGACAACCCTAAATTATTTCAAAATTAAATTTAGCTTTTCATGGCAGGGGTAGAGATTAGCACTGAAAAAAAAATCCCCGAAGCTTGCACTTCATGACTTGTGCCTTTCTTATAAGTTTTCACTGAGATTAAAGAACTCATTCTTCTTGCTCCTTCTTCCAAATTCTAGCTCCAGAATTAATGTGTGATTGATGGGCAGTTAAGGGGCCTGCACTGGGTTATTTTTCACAAATGTGACAGTCAGCAGCATAAAACTAGTCCCTGTTACTATACTGCAGATAGGAAACATTTATCTTCATGCATTATACATGAGAAATGCACTTGATGAAATAAAAATTCGACTGTACTCAAGTCATGAAATAAATACGTGACTGCACTTGATTCATTGTAATCAAAATAAATATTAAAGTGTCCACCAGCAACTGATGGACATCAAAAGGAATGCCTCAATGGTGTTTAATTACTTAGCTTTGATGTAGTACTAAGTAAAAATACTTAATGGGTTAGCTTGCCTGAATCCCAAACTTCTATATGTTATTTGTAATCATACAAACTAGCATATACATCTACACAGACTGTAAACTACTGCCAAAACTTGGACCAGTTTTCCTATACATATTTCAGTATAAACTGTGCCATTAATCTTCTGCTATCCTCCCACTCTGAGGCATGCCAGTCATGATCCAGAACTTTTTTTTTAGTCATGATCCAGAACTTTGCGGTTGAGGAAGAAGCAAATCTCTCCCCATGAAGGAAGCAATCTGGGTCACCGAACCACAATCAGGATTTCGTATAACATGTAATCAGTACTATATGCTCTGCTTTATAATAACATTTTTCACGCTCAATAACCTGACCTATGATCATTGATTACCATTATCAGTTTTCATTTTCGAGTTGCATTTAAACAAAAAATTTGTTCCCTGCTTCAGGACTGTGGTTACCCAACCAACAAGACATGCAAGAAATCAATTTGAATCTCAAATTGTGCAATCAGTGTTTTTAATACTCTATCATCTTAACTTGTGAAATCTGTTGAGCCTTTTTTTTTTTTTTTTCATTCCAGAGTATAATTGCTTCAGCATTCCTCTACCTAACCTGTGGTTCTAAGGTGAAGCATGAAAGAATCTTAACTGGTATGTTTTGCCTGTAGCAAACTACTACCATAAACTTTCACTTCCTTAGATCAGAAAGTCCATGAAATATAAAAGATGTTGCAAATCAAATGCTTGCTGTGGAAGCCTTACATTCACTGTTCATACGGAAACTACTAATTATATAGATTTAACTGAACTGCTGTGCATGTCTCATTGCTGCTTTTTGTGTTCTTAAAACATGTACTTTTGCATGACAAAAAAGGTTACACTGATTGTCATGAGTAAAGTTATGTTCCCAATCAATTCAAGCCGGCCTATCTCACTACCTACCACATCAGCAGGCACAATATTATATCTAAGATTAGATCACTGTACATCTAATCCCTCTGCTCTCCCACCAGCCCCTCCCTCTATTGCACTTCGGGTACCTTCAGCCATTAAATTAGTCCAAACATTTAAAAACACAATCTTAGTCCAGTATGACCCAAGTTAAATCAGTAGCAGAAACATTTCGTCTGTTTTGAAACAAGAAAGCTATGACTGATGCTTCTGACCAATACTTCCCTTCAGTGGACTGCCACACTATATGCATTTATCTTGTTTTGGTCTAAAAGTTTATAGAGCATTCCCAGAGACTGTCGTACTAACTTTGGATCGAACTATCTCCAAGGGGATTCTCAATGAATTGCAATTAACTTAAGTGGCTTAGATGTCTGTTATGCCTACTGAAGCTGATAGGGGGTAATTTACTATCATTTACCAGCTTTATTAGTCGTCCCAGACATCTAAGCCACTTAAGCTGAAAGCAATTTAGCAAGAAACCCCGTGGAGATGGACCGATCCTGTTAGAACGATCTAGGGATGGGAACCCAGTCTTAGACCCATTTTCAGGCTACTTCCATTTCACTGTGAAACCAAACCCAGCTAAATATATGGCTTTAGACCCAACATGCTGTTGTTAAGCTACTTCTACACAGACTACCACCTAGAGTGTATTCAGAACAGATGATCCGTGGACTAACTGATCTGCCGATGAAATATGGCTGACCCCACTAAAAAGCTGCGCTCCAAGATCGTTTTAATAGTTAGGTTAATTCAACTTGACTTCAATAGATGTTTCTTTTTTTCCTGAGACAGAAAAATATTCATTAACAATAAAAATAAACCCATATGTTGGCTTTATGCAACCACAATTACAAATTGAGTAATAATGTCATACTTTAAAGTACACAATGATTATTGCTTACCCATCATTGTCCTGATAGTTAATATTAATCCTCTTTGTAGAACCAATGAGTTCTGAAAAAAATAATAATAAAAGAAATAAGTAATGACATAAAATATTGACATATATTACTTATTTACAAAAGATACCTGATACAATATATGAAAAACGTGTGTGTGTGTGTGCGCGTGCGCGCACTTGCGTGCATGCATATGTCAATCTGAGCATTCAATATTGTACAGGTTTTGTATTTAATAGGTTCTTTTAAAAACCTCATATATTAAGTTAATATACTATAAGATGGGAGAGCATGGCAGTTTCCAACTCAGTTTTTAATCAAGATCCTATATGCCTATATCTCCAATATTCAGGGTGTCCTTAAGTAGGGCTATTATGAGTGCAGGCAGCTTGAATATGCAATAATCTAAGTGAGTTAGGTAATATGCCAGATAAACCCTCAGACACTGGTGTTATATATGGTGAGTGGTTGATAGCCTGGTGCATGGCATATTACATTAAAGCATGGATTTCTATATGGGATAATTACACCTGTGAGCCTGAGCTATGTAGGCCATCTCATCTCTATGATCTCATAGTCATCAGTAAAGAACTTTACAACTGTATCTTCACCCCATCAGTATTGAAGGGGTATTTTAAGGGTTGGGGCATTTTTCTTGGGTCTTTAAATTAGCTACAGGTTTTTAAAGTTGTACAATATATAGGCAAATCAATGGTGACCGAGTTGAGTAAAGCTACATAATATGGGTAATCTATATGCCTTTTAAACCTCAAGTGTTTACTCCTGAAGAGCAAGTTTGCAATGAATCCAAAACAAAAGTAATAGTTTGTCCTCAGTTTTGACTATAAACCAAAAAAAAGTTTGTTAACCACCACAACAGTGATAAGATCAATGTACTTAAAATAGAGAAAATGCACATGCCAAGCTCTGCTGGCAAACTGATCTTTATCATAACTGTATTTTACACTAAAGGTGCACATGTACAGATGACTAACTACGTTTATGGTTTTACGGCGCTTTTATGGGGATACACTATACCTGCTAGTTTTCATACTGACAAATTACTGTCTATAATATATGATTTAATGATTTTTTTATCTCTTACATATAACTGATATCAAATTCTTATCAGAAGTGTTTTCTTAAATAATCCTATACCCTTTAACAAACCAGTTCACTCTTCTTAAAAGACAATATACTTATAAGTCTTACCATTATTTCCACTCAGCAAAATAGTAATAAAACAAATAAATCAATTTGAAGCCATATTAAAAACGTACTAGGAGAATTTCTTAAATTTGATACCATGACCTTCAGCAAGAATGTCAAATCTATCTATAAGACCC